TTAAAGGTGAAATGGCCAAATAAATCTCCATGTTAGTCACCCACCAGTTTTGGTACCTCTTCAACACGGTACCTCGAGGAATGAAAGGGGTGTACTCAAAGTTGGCCAAGTCATCTACAAATTTCAAAGTTGCCTCTTCTAGCCTGGATTTCCAGACTTTCAGATCCCTTCTAGTAAGCCTGAGATTTGTGTTGCTACAGAGAGGTATTGGGACCCCTTGTGTGAGGCCAAATTGTCTAGCAAATTGAGCTGGACAGTAAGGTTCAGCAATGCATTTGTAGGCCTTCGGGTTCAAAGTCCCGATAAATAACTCTCTGGGAATCAGAATGGAAGCCCATATATCTTTGTGAATAGGTGAGGTACAGGACTGGTCACTTAGGAAATTCCTCAATCAAGATGGACCAATGGAAGGTTCGAAGAGACGAAAACGGTAAGTAGGAAGGGAGGTTGGAAGCTGGTGAAAGAAAGAGAAGTAAAAAGCAAAAGTAGAAGGGTAAAGTGAAGCATTGGCCAACCTTATGCCATGAGTAGGAGGATTTGGCTCGGAAAATTTAAGGCATTTGGATTATAACTCAGTAAAATAGGCGAAAAGCCAAAACTGAAGAATCCAGAATGGCCCCCCTTGATTAGCATCTAAGGGTTTCTCACAGAAGAGGGAGCAGACTCTATATACGTGACCTAGAACATGTGGGGCTAAGGCCACATTTTTCTGTAAAACAAAGGCTTTGGCAAGAGGGGCAAATTCAGGCATGATTCTCTGAGAGGAGGTGCAAAAAAGGCATTTGCAAAGCCAATATAATAAGAAAGAAAAGAATTCCCTATCAGTCACAGGGCCCTCTCTTTTATTCTCAGCCCTAGCGAAATCACTATAAGATGAGTTAAGGGAGGGGAGAGAGAAAGAGACTGCTAAATCAGGATAATCCAGTCCAAAAGAGGTGCCAATGGGAGATAGTCCCAGTAAATGGCAAATATCAAGAACAGTAGGGGCCATCATCCCACATCTAAATTGGAAAAAATTAAAGACAGGATTCCAAAAACATAGGGTAGCAGGAATAAGGAAAGGGTCCTCTGAGATAGTTACCCTAGATAGTCTGAGAGCATCGAGAAGGCAGAGTTCTTGAAGGTCCAGGGTCCTAGCAGGAATAACCCGATCATACCATTCTTGCCACTCTGGTCTCACCGTGGGCCAGCATCGGTAGGGGCGATTTACCCTCTAGTTCCTCTAGTCAAGACCACCTTCGTAAAGGAGACATTGGTTTTCCAGACGAGGATATAGGGTTGGGAGCTCAGTAAGGATCTCTTTGAATATGGGCCCAAGCACGTAGTCTTGCTGCACATGGCGACGAGAGACAAAGATGCGTCCATCAATAGCGCTTTTATCCCCAGCTTTGTACTTCTCACATTCTGCATCAATGATCCTCTTCAGGGCCACAGATGGGCTCGTACGCTCTACGACCGATACTAAAGGAGAAGCCATTGACAGTATGCTTTTCTTGAAAGTGAAACCGGGAAAGGAAATAGAGAGAAGCCGAAGATTGGTAGTAAGAGGGGTTTGTGCGATTAGAAGAGCAAGTGATTTCAGAGCACGAAACAAAAGGGTTTTTAAAGCCCTCGTATTTAAAAATATATTACATGAGCTGTTAAGTATTAGAAATGCGAATACAAAAGCTTCCTTCAATATTGATGCTTTTGGAGGGAAAAACAAGCCCAGTTATTGAGGCTAGCTTCGAAGTAAGATATTTTGCTTCGAAGCCGAGTCAAACGGCTTCGAAACAGAGAAGCCGGCTTCGAAGCAGGTTGCCATACCCAAAATATAAAAAAATACTCGAGTGTTTATTTCACTTAAAAGAGTTTAAAGACCTGTTTTTAGGTTTTTAACAAAGGTAATGTCCTTCGAGGCAAAACTTGAGATTCTTTACAGATGGGATTTGGTGTTTGAAACATCAAAAACAATAATGACAATGACTAGATGTTGACTATGGTCAAAACAGACTTTAAGTATAAGATTGCTAGATTCAAAGCACTGTTTTTAATTGAAAATCAGCCAAAACTGTCAACTTTATTCCACAAATTGGAAAGGTTTACAATTGGCTCATTTAGTGTTTCACTTAAAACAATTAAGTCCAGATTCAAATAATGAAATTGTTCGAAGCTCGGAGTTGACTTTTAAAGCACAAGTGAAAACACAAGTGAAGACAGGGTCAAACAATGACAAATGAAGAAGAATTTCGTTTACATTAAAACCAAAGCAATTACATCATATGACCCTATCTCAGTATGAACTCGAGCTCATAAAAATAAGGAATGGAGTAAATAACGAGATCATGAAATTTAGTCCAACAATGATCAATAAACTTTTGTTCTTTCCTTATTCTATCTTCCAAATTTTCTAGCATTGGCTGCATAAGTTGATGTGCTCTCACTTCATAGTAGAGCTCTTCAACCTTTATTTCAAAAGCCACCTCTCTTAATCCTTGTTCCAATTCGTCAATGTCTAAGTCATCCCAATACGCAGAATCTTTATTCTTGAAATCATCGAATTCTTCAATAAAGTTCTCTGCTTCGTACTAAACATGAATTCGAAGAGACGAAAGTTGGTCTAAAGATTGTGTAGTAGCCACAGAATTTCGATGCCAGTAAAAGAGCAATGGAAGTTGGTCCAGAAACATATGAAGTTCTGCCTGAGCAAGGGGATTAAGGACATGGCCCCTAGTCAGAATATCACAAGCCCATCGAAGGTTCTTGAGAGGGACTTCGTCCTCAAGTACATTAAAAGGCAAGTGAGAGAAAGCTGCAAGCAGAAGTTGAGCCTGTTTCTGCTCAGCTGGGGTAGGAGAAGGTAGAGGTTTATAAGGTGGGAAGACATTTTCCATGGATAGGGCAAGCTTCAGTCTCTCTGTCCAGGAAAGGATTGGCGGGGAAGAAGGTATGAATACTTCAATTTCGGGAGACGAAGAAGAAGGTGTGGACGCTTCTATTTTCGGAGATGACACGGGAGTAGAAGGAATAAAGGCATTAATATAATCAAGCCAGTCAGAAGAACAAATCTTCACCTTCTGGGCTAAGAATGATGGGTTATACCCTTGTGCTTCTTCTGGGCGGGGGGCAGCGTGCACTATCTTTGTAGGCATGGAGGATGTATACCATGCTACAAGAAGATTCTCCTCCAGACTACGCCGATGGTCAATGGGCACATAGGGATAAACAACTGAACTTCGAGCATAGGAAGGAAACTCTAAAGGGTCAGTGAACTCAACAAAATGATGGTTGATTCGCTTCTTCAAATCACAGGTCTCAGGTATTGACCAGCTTGTCCAGTCAGAACCCCCAGAAGAGGAAGAAGTTGCAGCTTTATCCCATACAGAGATTTGTGAAGGAGAGTTTCTCAAGTCCATATTTGCAACTTTCTGAATCAAAGGTTTGAGTGTAGTTTGTTCGAACTGTAAAGGTAGGTTAGAGGAAGAACTTCTTATGTCTATATTTGTAGCTTTCTGAATCGAAGGATTAAGAGCAATGTGTTCGTAATCCAAAGGTCGGTAATTTGCAAAGGCATCCATGACCTGAATATAGAAAGGTGGGTAAAGGTGGCTAATAAATGCATGCTTTCGATGAGAAATAGCATCGACATATGACTCTTCGTGTGCTTCATCGCCGGAGGAAAGAATTAATTTGGCCATGAAATGTATCAGTCTATTCGAATACTAAGACAGTGAAAATACTTAAAGGATCAAAACGAGAGTATTAATACAGATGATGAGTGACAGTTGCATTTCTAGGAAGATGCAAAACCCATGCACGTTCTAAGACGTGGAAAAAAGGACCCTGATCCACTAATATCACCAAGTCTTGGGCATATTAGTGCGGGGGGTAATGTTGGCTACATATTTTGTGCTAGCCAGTGACAATTCGACGCGTGGCAAAGTAAGGGTAATATGGGGAGATCAGTCAGGTCTTCGATCCTGATCATACACGTGGCAGTTAATATTGGTTGTTATAAGATCTGAGTAGCAGCGGATCAACAAAGAGATGCACGCTGACGTGGCTTCAACGGTTGCTCACATCCAGATTCAAATATAGGAGGGAAGCCTAACTGCAAGAGAAGGCGTAGTGGAACTACTTATAAGGTAGCATGATCAGGGATCACGGAGGAGCAGTTCGACGGTTTAAAATACAGTTCGATGGTTATCTTCGGAGAGTATAAATAGCAGGAAGGACTTCAGGGAAGGGGACGGAGAAAAATCTAAAGAAAACCAGTCTTACTTTACATATTCCAGTTTTATTTCCTATTCTTTGCATTTCTGTACTTTAAGTTCCTGCACTGCACTTCATTTGTAGGAGTAGTTTTCGAGTATATTGCCGCTGTAAATCTCTATGAAGCTGAGATCATTGTAAGTTTTTCATACTAATGAAATGCTTCAATTTATTTAACTGTTCTTATGCTCAAATTCTCCGAAGTCAAGCTACTAGTAAGTCACCAGTAAAAGTCCTCTTTATTGAGGCTAAAAGAACCATATATAACACAATCGTTTGAATAATTGGTTGGCAATTACAATTTTGTAAGGACTGATTGATCCTTTCTGGCACGCTCATAATTACAAAAATAACATTCGAAAGCCAAAAAGCCAACAATAATATAGATAATATGTTAGTTGATATAATATTATTTATAAAATCCAAGTATATTTGTGTTATATTTTAGGTTGTATTTGATAATTGTATTTAATTACAAATGATATGCTATCCATCCTTGTGCACCTATTATTGATAGCATATCATTTGTAAAAATAGTTGTGCTTATGCTATAATTATATTCACTATTTATTAAACCCAATTATATTTGTGCTATTATTTGAACACAGTTCTGCTGCGTAGCTCGAAAGGCGATGGCTCGAGTGGCTCGAATTTATGAACTTCTTGTTGTTGTATACGCCCGATACACCTACAATTTATTTCATTTCAAAAACAAAAAAAGAAAAAAAGAAAAGAACATAATAGAGAGTAGAGAGAGAGAGAAGCACTGTCTCGTCGTAACCTAGCGGAGCCGTTTGGTTGCTGCTGCTGCTGTTTGATCGAAGTGGGAGAGGTGAAAGTTTGTGTGCCGCAGAGCAATCGGAGTCTGCACTAACTTGGAATCGGTCTGTTCGTAACCTAGCGGAACCGTCTCTTTATGCCGTCGCTACTGCTGTTTGATCGGAGTGGGAGAGAAGGAAGTTTGTGTGCCGCAGAGCAATCGGAGTCTTCACTGAATTGTGAATAAGGTATTTTCCCTTGACGTTTTATTTCCCCTTGTGTCATTCCTCTTCCATTGCTCTGTCATTATGGCTGCCATGGCTCTCATGGCTAGTAGCTAAATTTCAATGTGGCTGCCGTGGCTGCTCTTCCATTGCTCAATCATAAGATTATGCTTAAAATGGTTGTGAAAATAAAATTATTTTGTTGTCTATCAAGTGATCCACTCGTCCCCATTTCAGCCACCAAGAATGTTATAACATGCTCTGGTTGCCTATGCATACTAGTTAGACAGAAGTTAAAAAGGACTTATAATAGAATATAATATTTGTAATAATAATAACAGTAGTAATAATTTAACAGAAAAATAACACAAAACCAAGAATATTTGAATTTCCGAGTTAGAATTGTATCTCATTTTGTTCTTCATTTTTGCCAATTAAGTAGACTATTAGCTTGATCAAACTAATTAAGTAAACTAAACTGCCATGGCTTCTAGCTAAGGGAAATCAATGTGGCTACTTAGAATTGAATCTCATTTTTGGTTTAGTAAACCCAAATTAAACTGTACCTCATTTTTGCCAATTAAGTAAACTATTGGCTTGATCAAACTAAGTAAGTAAACTGTCATGTCTGCTAGCTAAGTTTCAATGTGCCTGCCATGTGTAATTGTAGAAGTTAAACATTCTTCTAGAAAACTAGTGCCAAGTAATGTATTCTATGGAAGTTGTTTGGGCTTCCTGGCATGGGTTATCTGACACATGGCATTGATTGAATTTAGTAGCCAATGGAGGTTTGACTAGATCATTTTTACACAGTTGGGGTGTGCCTAGAATGTGTTGGCAAGTATTAGGAAAATTGTAATCTCAGGGTGGAGATACTGTAACAGACTAGTAGTCTTGCTGCATCCAATAATCCACTACACTGGGTTTCTTATGTCATGAAATCCTAAAAGGAAGATACATGTATCTTGAATCTTTGTTAATTTATAATGCCTTAATAGTTGCTATTTCCTCGCTGTTAGCATGTTTATACTGCACATAAGATAATAATCATACTTATCCAAAAACAGAAAAGAAAAGACTATAACATCTTTTTCAAAAAAATATTCTTATATTTTTTTTTATGTATTAGTAATATATATTTTTTTGACATAATTTTTTTTTTTGGGGGGTAAATATGTATATGTATATCTGCACTTTCCCTGAGTTGATATTAATAGTGTTATAAGATTATTCTTAAGATGAATGTGAAAAATTAGCAGATTGAGATGTAGCTGCTTATCCCTGGCATGGCTGCCATTGCTTGAGCCTTTGTTTCAAATTCAAATTCATTCTACTTGATTTGATATTGCAGCTAACAATGTCTATTGTATTTAACTTTGAAGCTACAATGGATATTTATTCAAACAATAATTCATTGAATGTGAGTGAAGAAGTTGAAGAACGGGATAACAATCTTTCATTTAACGAAAATAGTGAAGTTGAAGAACCTAAAAAGGAGATGTATTTTACCTCAAAACAAGAAGTGTACGCATTTTATGCAAAACACTGTGGATTTGCTATAGCTTTTAGATCACAAAATCTAACAAATGATGGGGAAGTGAAGTACTTTGGAATTAAACGTACTCAGGCGCGGATCAAAACAAAATGGTCAAAAGTAAATCTCTTGGAACCATCTTTGTCATCAAAAATTGATTGTAAAGCAAGGGTAAGAGTCAGTCTACAAAACGATGGAAGATATAAGTTAACCGTAGTTGTACTTGAGCATACTCATGATTTGATTCCTACTGACTCATGGCATTTTGCAATGAATAAGAGAATTTTTTGTGATAACCCTGTTCCGTTTTATGTTAATTAATCTTAATTATGATTGTGATTATATGTTAGCTATGATTTTGTGTGCCACTTATATGAATATATGTGGTTTTGAATTTCTATCTGTTCACCGTAGGAATATCTGTTCAACTTACTGTTATAAGCTGAAAATTGAAGGCCTTATCGGCCACAGAAATTGAAATTGACTACGCCTTTGTAATTAGCGTAATTTTTAGAGCATACGGTGAAATTTAATTGAAAATTAATTTGGATCAAAATAATTAGATTCTGAACGATTAATTAAGCTTTATTATTTAACTCTAATCAAATGTGATTAGTGAGAGACTATAAAAGGAGCTCTATTATACTTATATTCATTTATTTGAGCTCAAAGCTGAAAATTGCTCTAAGGAAAGAGAGTGAGGGTCGGCTAGAGAGAGAGAGAGGGAAACAATTGGAGATTTGAGCAAGAGGCTTGGAAATCTTGAAGATTAACTCAAGAACTGGCTAGAATTTGGGTGTTTGAAGCTCCTAGGTGAGTAAATTCATAGATTTTAGTTTGTAACTTTGTGAATTCAAAGTTGAATGGTGATCAAGAATATGGAATGAATTGGTTTTGATGAATTGGGAGTCAATATACACATGCATGTAGGAGATTGCCATGAATTGTATGTTTGAGCTTGAAATTTGCATGAGCTAGCATGAATCATGTTGAACATGGAGAATTGGGCACCAATCTTCACATGCATGCATGATTTTCATGGGTTCCATAATAATAGGTGTCATTTACATGATTTGAAGTAGAAATGAAGTCAAAAATTTGCATGCATGTTTGATTATGGAAGATATGGAGCTTATATGAGGGTTGAATGCATGAGCCTTGATTATACTAAAGAAATGTTGATTAATTTTGAAGATTGGGCCATGATTTTGAGCAATTGGCCTCACATTGTTTGTGTACTCATGATATATAATGTGTTTCCCTATTTTGGTACCTTAATTCGAGCTTTAAAGCCTTTGAATATCAAGTTTGAGCCTCAAGAATAATTCTGGATTTTCCAGAATTTGGCATGTCCGCTCGAGCGGGGAAAGCGCCGCACGAGCAGGAAATACGAGCTCCCAGAAGTTTTGCAGACATGGATGTCCGCTCGAGCGGGGAGATTCACGCTCGAGCGGGGAGCCATGTAGTGAGACTTTCAGCTTGAGCATCCGAAGTCACGCTCGAGCATAAAAATGAGGCAACCGGTGCTTTTGCAGACCTAATGGATCCGCTCGAGCGGGGACCCCTGTTTCAGAAATTTTGTAAAGATGTTTTGTGTTTCGTTTTCCGTTCTCTTTCATTTCTAAGCACTCTTAGGCATGCATTGAGCATTATGAATGAATTAAAAGGATAAGAAAGAAGCCTAAGAGGAATGTATAAATTAAGAACGAATTGAATCGTTTGTGACCCATATGTGTTATGTAATGTGTAGGGTCGAGCTTAAGGGTGAATCCACCGGCAGAACACTGTGAGTAATATCTTAATAAAGATATCTGAAGTATGCTATTTGTCCAATTACTTACTTTCATATAAGTCTTGCAAGTTTGATACATTGAATTGGGGACAAATGTTTGTTGTGCCATGTGGTTGGGCCAAAGGTCGCCTGACATGAATAATAGTATGACATGAATGACAGTCTGACACGAATGATAGTCTGACGTATAAATAAATGGGCCCCAGGCCGTATGACATGAACAAATGAGCCAGAGGCCGTATGACACGAATGAATGGGCCGGAGGCCGTATGATATAAATGGATGGGCCAGAGGCCGTATGACATGAATGGATAGGCCAGAGGCCGTATGAAATTAATGAATAGGCCAGAGGCCGTATGACACGAATGAATGGGCTAAAGGTCGTTGGATACGAATGATTGGGCCAAAGGCCGTTGGACAAGAACGATTGGGCCATAGGCCGTCGGATGCGAATGAATTGGGCCCGAGTCCGTTTGATGTGTTTAGAACTGCAGTCACTTGACCTATATATATATATTAGATAGAAATATGAATTGGGCCCAAGGCCGTCTGATGTATGTTATTCTAAATACCGTTCGCGTATCTTTTTTATTTGATATTATTCACTGGACTTTCGCTCACACTCATTTATGTGTCTGTAGGTGAGCCAAGGGAGGTTCAAACCCAGCCTCAGTGAAGTTTGTGTGAAATGGTCAAGGTTTTGAAGAGTCAGCCCGAACGTCTCACGCACGAGACTTGTCTTCGCCTCTTTTGTTCTTTTGATATGGTTTTGATTATATTGGCGAAAACGTTGGATCACTTTTGTATATAAACTTTGGGTTTGACCGACTTAGACTTAATGATCCTGTATGTACAGAACTTTGTGTTATTACCTATTTTGACGTGAGTTATTAACATGTACGTATATGATTTGTATGCTGTGCTATGTAAGCACAGCTCTATGGACAATTTGTAAGTTTGCTTCCGTTTGGCCCCTTTACTCTGATGAGTTACGTTTGGTTTGGTTTGAGGCCGTAGGTAATCCCTTGATTACTAGCCAGTTATGTCCTTAACCTAGAGGGGCGGGTTCGGGTCATGACATTCTTACTCTGGTGAAGAGGAGACTATAAGTGAACGATGCAGCAGGGATTGCGTTGGCGAGGAATTTTCATTCCGTAGTTGTTGAAGCATGGGGATATGAGGCATTAACGTTTGATGAATGAGATGCAAGATATTATATTAAGAATGCTAGAAGATTGAGACTTAGGCTAGAAGACGCCGAATCAGTTACACTTTATTTCCATAAAATGCAATAACAAAATTCAGACTTCTATTCGGCAATTGACCTTGATAAAGATGGTTGCATGCGGAACTTGTTTTAGCAGATGCAAGGAGTAAGGTGACTTATAAAGCATTTGGGGATGTTGTCTCATTTGACACAACCTATTTGACAAACAAATATGATATGTTGTTTGCTCTGTTTGCAGGAGTTAATCACCATGGACAATCAATTTTGTTTGGTTGTGGGTTGTTATCTAATGAGAACACTGAAGCATTTGTTTGGTTATTCAAAGAATGGTTAACTTGCATGTCAGATGCTCATCCAAAAGCTATAATAACTGACCAGGGTAGAGCTATGCAAAATGCCTAGGACTGCAAATGAACCGAGCTGTTCATGAACAAGCTCGGCTCGGCTCGTTAAGGGCTCGGCTTGTTTAGTAAACGAGCTTGAATATTAGGCTTGTTTAATAAACGAGCCGAGCTCGAGCGCACATAAGCTCGGCTCGTTTATCTTTATTTAAATTATATAATAAATATATTATTTATATATTAAATAATATTTTTTATTTAAATATTTATATTTAAATAATATAAATAATATTAAAAAAAATTATCAAGCCGAGCCGAGCTCGAGTTTCATTAAAATTAACGAGCCGAGCCGAGCTCGAGCCTAGTTCCTTATCAAGCCAAGCTCGAGCTCAATAAACGAGCTCGATAAGTAAACGAGCCGAACTCGAGCCCAACAAAGCTCGGCTCGGTTCATTTGCAGCCCTAAAAATGCCATAGAAATTGTTTTCCCACAGGCTCGATATCGTTGGTGTTTACGGCATGCAATGAAGAAAATTCTGGAGAAACTAAGAGGATATTCACAATATGAAGGCATAAAGGTTGCTTTGCAATTCGTTCATTCTATTTTCCTTCTATGGTTGGCACACAAGACTGTATGTATGTACCGATATGTGTTGAATGACTTAATATATTGCACTTTGTTTGTTGTTGGGTTTTATTTTAATGCTTCAAATTATAAATAACTTTGTCTTACTATATAATGATAAGGTGTCGCATGATCAACCTTACTATTTTCCTTTTATAGTGGGCACACAAGACAGTATGTATGTACCGGTACGTGTTCAATATATGAGTACACATATTTGTAACGATGAATTTTATTGGCCAATATTTTTTTGAACAATATTTGTAATATGTACTTTGTTTTTATAGGCATGGGTTAGCATAATGGAAACGCCAGACAATATTGGAAGCACATCAGGAATGGTCAACAATATAAACAGTCAAAGTTCTATAGTACCATCAAAATTTGTTGACTTGAATATAGATGTGGATCTAAATGCCCCATTTTATTTTTAGTTTTGCACTATTAATTGTTGGCCATTGTTTGGCCCTTTGTGTTTTTGGTTAATCATGGATGATTTGTAATTTGTGGTTTGCTAAACTTGTATGAATTCTGAGAGTGTTGCCTCCTTTGTAAGAATATTTGAATAGTGGTTTCCTAAATTTGTGATTTGCTAAAGATTTGATAATGCTGCCTGTTGCCTCATTTGTATGAAGATTTGATACTGCTGCCTCCTTTAGGATGTTATTTTTCATGTCATTTGGTCCCATTTGGCATTTATTTTTGGTATATGGGTTGAACAATCTGACAAGTTGTTATTTTTGAAATCCTTTAATTTGGATTTTAGACCATTGTTGTAGATTGCTGTTGAAATTTGAATGGGACTTCTTAAGTTTTAATGAGACTTCTTAAATTGTTGTTGAAATTTGATAGATCTGGAAGGTGTAGATGTTTTGACACAAGATGGTGGATCAACTTGTGTTGTTTAGGGGCACTGAACACACTTTCTTGTCCTACTATCTTTGCCATTGACTTAATTAATGTCTTTGGGAATCTTCCTAAATCATTGTTAAGGATTGCCTTAGCTGATTCAGTACTCGAAAGAAAAACATGGGTCTGTCCTAATACATGTTATTTGAAGTAGATTCCATACCTGTTAAAAGCAAAATCAGTAGTATCTCTTCATCATGGTAAGTTTATATTTATATCTTGTGGTATATTTTGCATGAGCAATAGGCTCTTGAGGTATATTTTGTGGTACAAAATCAGTAGGCACCTAAGGTATATTTTGCATGACCAAACTCATCCACATACACAACACAAAGCAATTTACATCATTAAGTATTCATGAAAAATTTCAAAATCTAACAGCTTAGTCATTTACATCATTAAATACAAAAAGATACAAAATACGAAAGAAGTTCATGATTACATTCATGAAATTCGTCAGAACGTTAAAGACTCTGAGATTTACATGATAAAGTACAAAAAGATACAAAATATAATGACATATATCATAATTTTGAAGTTCTTCTCTATCTTTTTAAGCCTTGTAGCATGCTGCAGAATTTCATTGTTCATCTCACAAAGCCCTGTCCTTATATCGTTTAATTCTTCTGTTCTTATAGTTTTCTGGGGTCCAACATTGGAATGGATTGTGAACCTGCTGTCGTTATCATTCTCATCTGTGAATTTGAAGTGATTACAGTGTTCCTTCTCATTCTACAAGGAACAAAATCACATAAATAACTTTGTACACAATCAAACATGAAATTCTATAATTGATACTTACATATTTCGATGGGCAAATAAAAAACAAATGTCTTTGGTTTCCGTTGTCATTCGTGCGTGCAATATACATCGCCGCAATTCTCCTACAATTACACAATCTTGGTTTTAATCTTATGTTACTATTATTAGTAGAAGAAGAAGCCATAGTTCTGTAATCTGCTATTATTAGTAGACAAAGAATCCATCAGTTATCCCATGAAGCAGCCAACAACAGCCAATTTTCAACACAGATTTCAAATCAGATTTACATATTTTAGATCAGATTTTAACACATTTACAGATTTATATAACAAATTTATAGCAGCTTTGTAATAGATTTACAAATTTCTAACAGATTTCAACATAGATTTCTAATAGATTTCAACACAGATTTATAACATATTATAACAAATTTACAAATTTCAAGCCAGATTTCAACATATATTTGAAGACAGATTTGATTGTTTATAATTTTAAGACAGATTTTATTGTTCATAATTTTACATATTTCAAGCAAATGTTCACACAAATGTATAAACTTAAAACCAAACCCATACGTATTTTACCATCAAACAGATGTATTAGTTGGATAACTATTCAAGCAGATTTCTAACAGATTTTTTCAACACAGATTTATAACTTATTACAACAGATTTACAAATTTCAAGCCAGATTGCACCACATATTTGAACACAGATTTGATTGTTTATAATTTTAAGACAGATTTTATCGTTTATAATTTTACATATTTCAAGCAAATCTGCACATAGATGTATGAACTTCAAACCAAGCCCATGTGTATCTTACAATCAAACAGATGCATTACTTGGATAACTATTGAAGCAGATTTCTAACAGATTTCTCCAACACAAATTTATAATTTATTGAAACAGATTTACAAATTTCAAGCCAGATTTCATCACATATTTAAACACAGATTTGATTGTTTATAATTTTAAGACAGATTTTATTGTTTTTAATTTTACATATTTCAAGCAAATCTGAACACAGATGTATGAACTTCAAACCAAACCCATGTGTATTTTATCATCAAACAGATGTATTAGTTGGATAACTATTCAAGCACAACCAAATTAAAGCCAAAACCAATTAAAGCAAATCTGAAAGCAGGTGTGTATTTTACCATATAGATGTGTATTTCAAGCAAAACCAAACAGATGTATACAGAGGATAACAGATTAAAAGGCAAATCCCAAACCCAAAAACACATCACAAATTAAAGCCAAATCCCAAACCCTAACACAATTTGCAAGCAAAATCCAACCCTAAACAGTCCCAATCGACTAATTTCTACAAAAATTGAAGCCAAACGTAAACCCTAACTTTGCGATTTCAGGTTTACCTCAGATTTGCTGTCAGGCTGTCGTTTATTCTCCATCATCGTTCGTCGTCCTCCATTGTCCTTCGTCTTCCATCGTCATTCATCTACCATCTTGTCATCGTTCATACTCCTTCTAGAGACATATCGGAAGTTCTTAAGAGAGATATATCAAATGAGAGAGATGGGGTGAGAGAGGCAAGAGTGAATGAGAGTGATGAGGTGAGAGAGACGAGGGTAAGAGAGAGGTGAGAGTGCTGAGAGAGGTGAGTGCTCAGAGTCCTTTTTTTATTTGGAGAATATAGTGAACTGCTAAGGCGGAGAGGAAAGCAACAAGAGATAAAGATGAGAGAGAAACTTATACTTTCGAACCAGTCGAACCCAAGATATTCGAGTTATGAAACGTTTTCTTATTTGAACATAATGATATGCTATATTTTTTTTTTAAAAAAACCCAAGTATATTATGTGAACCTAATAAAATATTGAAAAATAAATTAAATCTAATCACAATCACAAAATACAATCCAATCATCATTAATAGTTGATACTTTATGTGAACCTAATAAATATAATTATTCTTAATCAATTTAAAAATTTAATCGCCATATTAAAAAATAAATGATTTACTTACAGACTTTGAAATGTTTTTCTTTCAAGATTTTGTCTGACTCTCTCTCCCAAATTGCTGCGTAAGGCTACTGCTCTCTCCCAAACTTTTTGTCTAGGCTACTGTGATAGGGTTTCTTTAGGCTGCTGTGATATAGGGTTTAGGTTAATAATAATTAGCAGTGGGTTTCTTTACGCAAGGGCGGGAAAGTTGTTGTTGTTCTTTTTTTTTTAATCAGAAAATTAAGAAATTCAAATTCAAAATATAATTTAATCATCATAAATAGTGGATACTTTTTATGAACCTAATAAATACAATTTAATTTTTTTTCAAAAAACTTAGGTTAAAAATACAATTACCGTGTGATTGCATTCAAAAAACATGAATACAAATTTTTTTTCTTCAAAAAACACAGATTAAATGGAGTGTAAAAAAACACAATCATTTAAAAAATAAAATCACAGTGTGATCAAAACAGAGTGTAAAAAAGCGCAATCATTTAAAAATTAAAATCACTGTGTGATCAAAACGGAGTGTAAAAAACATAATCACATTTTTGCTCATAAACAATAAAAATAAAAATAAAAACAATGAAGCCAATTGACAATTAAAAAATACAATTATTTTTTTTCCCAAAAAACATAGTGATTGAAAAACTCAATCACAAATTAAGTTAATTGATAGTTAAAAAACATAATCATTTTTTTCAAAAAAAATATAGTGAGTTAAAAAACCCAATTACAAAATACAATCTATTCATCATCATCAATAATATGTATTTTATGTGAACCTAATGAATACAATCTAATTTTATTTTATTTTCAAGAAACATAGATTAAAATTAAAATATTGAAAAATAAATTAAATACAATCCAATCATATTAAAAAATAAATAATTTACTTACCAACTTTGAAATGTTTTTCTTCCAAGATTCTGTCTTACTCTTTTTCCTAAACTGTTGTGTAAGGTTGATGCTCTCTCCCAAACTTTTTTGTTTAGGCGGCTGTTTTGGTTAATAGTAATAGGCAGGAGTGGGTTTTTTTACACAAAGATGGGAAAGTTGTTTTTGTTTTTTTTTTTTAAATCAGAAAATTAAGAAATACATTCAATTAAAAAATACATTCACATTTGTTTTTCACATCGTCTTATCAAAATGGAATGTATGTAAAAAAACATAATCATATTTTCATTCATTCTCATAATAAAAAAATAAATGAAAACAAAAGCAATGGTGTCAATTAAATAAAGAAATAAATGAAATGAAAAGAAAAGCAATGAAATCAATTGAAGATTACTCACAGGAAAATAATAGCTGATTGTTGAAGTAATGAAGTCAGGCAGCTGTTGAGGCAAAGAAGTCAATTGAATAAAGAAATAGATGAGAAGAAAAGCAAGCATTAAAAAATTAAATGAAAAATGAGTTAAAAAACCCAATTACAAAATATAATTTATTCATCATCATCAATAATATATATTTTATGTGAACCTAATGAATGCAATCTAATTTTATTTTATTTTCAAGAAACGTAGATTAAAATTAAAATATTAAAAAATAAATTAAATACAATCCAATCATATTAAAAAATAAATAATTTACTTACCAACTTTGAAATGTTTTTCTTCCAAGATTCTGTCTTACTCTTTTTCCTAAACTGCTGTGTAAGGTTGATGCTCTCTCCCAAACCTTTTTGTTTAGGCTGCTGTTTTGGTTAATAGTAATAGGCAGGAGTGGGTTTTTTTACACAAAGACGGGAAAGTTGCTTTTGTTTTTTTTTTTTTTTAAATCAGAAAATTAAGAAATACATTCAATTAAAAAATACATTCATATTTGTTTTTTACACCGTCTTATCAAAATGGAATGTATGTAAAAAAAAATAATCAGATTTTCATTCATTCTCATAATAAAAAAATAAATGAAAACAAAAGCAATGGTGTCAATTAAATAAAGAAATAAATGAAATGAAAAGAGAAGCAATGAAATCAATTGAAGATTA